GACAGGAGAGCTACATCATCTGCAAAATCAAGATCTTATAATAAGCCTAATCTTCCCCAGTTAATACCATACCTGTGTTGTCTCTTTTATTGTGTAGTCTATAACCAGCAAAAAAGGAGACCTGACATAAAACATCCTTGTTTAACTCTAGAATTAATGTGCACAGCTAAAGTGATCATAAAATGTTTGTACTATCCTAATGATTTTACCTGTCAATTAATAATTTGCCATGTTCTTTTTCCAGATTTCTCGATGAACAATGTCAGACACTTATTTGAAGTCAATCGCTCACCTGGAATTTTTTGTGTTGATCTTGCATCAATTATTATTTTGCTGTACTGATGCGTGTTTAAACATGCCATTTAAAGTTTCTCTCTATCTATCATAGTTTCTGCAAAAAAACAAGAAAATTGTTAAAAATAATCTTTCAAGGGCAGCAACTCCTACAAAGGATCCCTTGATGATTTCTGTCATGCTGACTTCATACAGGAGCTTCTTAGGAAGAGAGATAAGAAGTTAGCAATATCCTTTAACTCTACGTTCCGCTATATAGATGATGTTCTCTCACTAAATAATACAAAATTTGGTGACTATGTTGAACGAATCTATCCCATCGAACTAGAGATAAAGGATACTACAGATACAGTTAAGTCTGCCTCATATCTTGACTTACATCTAGAAATTGACAATGAGGGTCGGTTGAAAACAAAACTTTACGACAAAAGAGATGATTTCAGCTTCCCAATTGTGAACTTTCCATTTCTTTGTAGATACATTCCAGCAGCGCCTGCATACAGAGTATATATCTCCCAATTGATACGATATTCCCGGGCTTGTGTTTCCTATCATGATTTCCTTGATAGAAGATTGCTGCTCACAAGGAAGCTATTAAACCAAGAGTTCCAAATGGTGAAGTTGAAGTCATCCCTTCGTAAATTTTACGGACGCCATCACGAGTTGGTTGACCGTTATGGAATAACCGTTTCACAGATGATATCGGATATGTTCCTTATGTCGTAACTACAATACCCTTCCCTTTTCACGAATGTGACTTACCGAATTTTACTATTTACCGGACTTGTAACAACATAAGCAACTCGACGGGTGCCACATGTGGAGCAGGATCTGCTTACCCTTCCGGAGCACCTGAGATCACCCCCAGTTTTTGGTGGGGTTCGTGTTGCTTAGTCTTTAGTTTTTCTATGTTGTGTCATCTGTACTATTATTTGTCTGTTTGTCTTTTTATTTTTGGCCATGACGTTGTCAGTTTGTTTTCGATCTATGAGTTTGACTGTCCCTCTGGTATCTTTCGTCCCTCTTTTGAATAAGTTGTAGGTATGACTTTGCTGAATGTTTTTGCCAAGTAAAGTTCCTATCTATCATAGTTTCTGCAAAATAATAATAAGTTGGTAAAAACCATCTTTCAAGGGCGATAACTCAAGTAAGGGATCAATTGCAGATTTGAGGCATGTAGATGTGTTAGTAATTTTTACTTTGCCGAACATTTTTTCTGTGTTAAGTTTCTACCATAATTTCTACAGAACAATTTAAAAAATGAAAAAAAATGGTCTTTTCAAGGGTAATAACTCCTTTAAGGGTTTAATGGACAATTTTGCTCATGTTTACTTATTTGTAAGTATTTTTGCCATCAGAGTTATGTCTATCTCACATAGTTTCTGAAAAAAAAATATTAAAAAGTCTTTCAAGGGCAACAACTCCTATAAGGAATCAATTAGTAAATTGGTTCCATAGAACCAAGAGTTCCAAATGGTGAAGTTGAAATCATCCCTTCGTAAATTTTACGGACGCCATCACGAGTTGGTTGACTGTTATGGAATGACCGTTTCACAGATGATATCGGATATGTTTCTTATGTTGTAACAACAATATCCTTCCCTTTTCACGAATGTGACCTACCGAATCAGACTATTTACCGGATTTGTAATAACATAAGTAACACGAAGGGTGCCACATGTGGAGCAGGATCTGCTTACCCTTCCGGAGCACCTGAGATCACCCCCAGTTTTTGGTGGGGTTCGTGTTGCTTAGTCTTTAGTTTTCTATGTTGTGTCATCTGTACTATTATTTGTCTGTTTGTCTTTTTATTTTTGGCCATGGCGTTGTCAGTTTGTTTTCGATCTATGAGTTTGACTGTCCCTCTGGTATCTTTCGTCCCTCTTTTATAGGTAAATCTTACTTTGCAGATCATTTTTGCTTTTAAAATTTCTCTTTATCTATGATAGTTTTCAAGATAACAACCAAAACTGAGAAATTTCACAAAAATTATCATTTGAGGGGCAATTACTCCAACTAAGGTCGTCTGATTTGTCAAAAAACTTTCAAGCAAATAGATCTTGACCTGATCATTTGTTACCTGTAAGTCTTGTTCTAACTGCTTTTATTTTTTGATATAAGCAAACAAGAGTGCACATGCTGAAATGTCTCACCTGCTTTACTGACCATTTATTTATGTTGAAAGTCTTAAGGATAAAGGATTTACTACAAGTATCACATAAACTTATGGTAACATTTTTAAAGATCAATAACAATGAGGTCAAGGTCGGATAAATCCTGTCAGACAGGCATGAACACATTACAATTATTCCATACACCAAATAAAGTTGACCTTTTGTTTATGGTAATTGAAAAACAGACCAAAACACAAAAACTTAACATTGACCAATGAACCTTGAAAATGAAGTCAAGTTCAGACGATACCTGCCAGACAGATATGTACACCTTTTAGTCATTCTATACACCAAATATAGTTGACCTACTGCTTATAGTACTTGAAAAACAGACAAAACATAAAAACTTAACATTGACCAATGAACCATGAAAATAAAGTCAAGATCAGATGAAACCTGCCAGTCTGACATGTACCTCTTACAAATCATTCCATACACCAAAAAAAGTTGACCTATTAATATTAGTCTTTGAAAAACAGATCAAATCATAAAAACTTAACATTGACCAATGAACCATGAAAAAGAGGTCAAGGTTAGATGATACGAGCTTGACCGACATGAACACCTTACAATCATTCTATACACCAAATATAGTTGACCTATTGCTTATAGTACTTGAAAAACAGACAAAAACACAAAATCATAACCTTGACCAATGAACCATGAAAATGAGGTCAAGGTCAGTTGATACCGGCAAGACCGACATGAACCCCTTTTAATCATTCTATACACCAAACATAGTTGACCTACTGCTTATAGTACTTGAAAAAAACAGACAAAAACACAAAAACTTAACATTGACCAATGAACCATGAAAATAAGATCAAGATCAGATGAAACCTGCCAGTCTGACATGTACCCCTTACAATCATTCCATACAGCACATATAGCACACCTACTGCTTATAGTATCTGAGAAATGGACCTAATCAAGTTTGGTTAAAATTGGTTTAGTAGTTTCAGAGGAGATCTTTGTAAAAGTTTACGATGACAATGACAATGAATGCCAAGTGATGGCAATAGTTCACATAGCCCTTTTGGCAAGGTGACCTAAAAAGGTTGATAAAATAGGGGACTGTACCATTCCATGCACTTCTCTACTATTGTTTTCAAGGTAATCACCAAAAAACTTTAAAATTTGCCAAAAATTTACATTTCTGGAGGAATTACTCCAAAATGGATTGTCCATTTTACTGAAAATTCCATAGTAATGTCATTGACCTGTTGATCTTTTCACTTTGTCAGTTTCACTCTGACTGTTTTGTTTTTGAAATACTAAAAACTGCAAAAGTTGTTAAAAATTTACATTTAAGGTGCAATAACTCCAAAATGAGTTGTTTGATTCTTTTGACAATTTCAGTAGAGATTGACCCTGACCTGCTGATCATTTTAACCTAGTCACTTTGCTCTTAATGCTTTACTTTTTGAGATATAAGCCAAAAAATGCATGTTACCCCTATGCTTTATTTGTAGCAATGGCAGCCATGTTCGTTGATGAATCAAATCCCAGGATAATTTTTTCTAACAGATTTCATAAGAAACATTCAGGTACAATTTGATAACATTTGGTCATGTAGATTGAGGAGAAGATTAAAAAAAAAGAATGTGTCCATAGTACAAGGATGCCCCACTCGCACTATCATTTTCTATGTTCAGTGGACTGTGAAATTGAGGTCAAAACTCTAATTTGGCATTAAAATCAGAAAGATCATATCATAGGGAACATGTGTACTAAGTTTCAAGTTGATTAGACTTCATCTTCATCAAAAACTACCTTGACCAAAAACTTTAACCTGAAGCGGGACAGACGGACGAACAGACCGAAAAATATAATGCCCCTAGGTGGGGCATAAAAAGATTACGACAATGGACGCCAAGTGATGGCAAAAGCTTTTAGGCCAGGTGAGCTTAAAATCTAATTAGTAGTGGGATCTTAATAGCATGACATCCCTTTACTATCAAGACTGGTTTGTTCAAAACATTTAGTACATAGGTAACTTGTTATTTTGCAGTAAATACTGTGACATGTACAGAAATTTGACTTTTCCATTCACTCACAATAGAAGCAGGATACCAGATGACATTATTTAGATACTATACAAATGTTGCACAAGTATATACATATATAAATGTATAGTAAAAGCTGCATGAAGAATAAAGTAAAAATTAAATTGGGTGAAATTACCATAAAAAGAGGGAGAATTTAACACAATAAGCCAAATTTAAATTGACAATACTATGTGGCATATCAGAAATTGATGAAGAGACAAACAAGTCCAGAAAACAACACAAAGAAAACTGATGGGTGAAATCAGGTGCTCCGTAAGAGTAAGCAGTTCCTGCTTAACTAGTGGCATCCATCGTGTTTCTCATTGCTAATAAAACTGGGTGATATCATAAGTCACATTTGCTGATGTCATTAATAATATACTGAAATATTTCTGTTAACTTTTAAAACCACATTAAAAATGAATATGGTTTGTAAAAAAACAAACAAGTCAATGTGAATATACAGTTTTCTTTTCATCTGAATATTAATATCACAGAAACATACTGTCCTACAATATATATAGTTAAACATCAGACGAGACAAAACATCTCAATAGTCTTGTGAGGGCAGTAGATTCAAATTGTTCCAATGTCAGCTGTATTTGGCTGCCAGGGAGTTGTTTGTTGGTGTCCTGGAGACAACCTCATTGGACTTTGTACCCGTCCAAATGGATTGTAACCTTCTTGTTGGTTTGCTGGTGAGAGCTGATTCTTAGGAGAAGCAGAGTGTCTATCTATCAGCTGTAATGATTAAAAATAAGCAATAGATGACAATCAGGACATTCTGACTACACAGAGTCATTTTATCTAAATGATCCTTTTCTATTTTTTAAGAGATAGTTTACTATAAACTTTAAAGTGAGAGAACATTTCAATACTTGTCAAATGTAGTTTTAATCATCATACCTTTTCAAAATTAAACTACAATGAACTATATAATATATAGAAAGAAAATAATACTAATCTGGTCTCAGAAATTGAATATCCCAGGTAAAAATTGGATTATTTTCTATCAAAAGATATGTCCATATATTGCAGCTATTGAAAAGTCCTAATGCTCATTGTATAATCTAAGACAAAACAGAATCCTAAGTCCTCATGAGTACAATGAAAAAAAGTGCTTTATTCCAAATTTTATGAATTTCCAAAGCTGCAATTGACTCTTTTTGCAAAAAAGTTCAAATATTGAAAAGAAACAAAAGAGGAAAAAAATGAAAATGTTTAGTTATTTTTATGACTTTTGAATCCTTTTTACCTGTCGTCCTATGGGAGATGGCTGGTTTCTTGTCATGACAGACTCTCCAATCTTGTTTAACAGTGACCCCTTTCTTTCTGGCTGCAAACAAAAACATATATCATCAATAAATACATACTTTACAGTGTATAAAAGTAAAATAACAAAAATACCAAACTTCAAGGAAAATTCAAAACAGAAAGTCCCTAATCAAATAGCAAAATCAAAAGCTCATACAAACAAAATGAATTGAAAACAACTGTCAAATTCCTGACTTGGTACAGTAATTTCCTTATGTAGAGATAGTTTCCTATAAACTTTAAAGTGAGAGCTAGAACATTTTTTTATACTTGTCAAATGTAGTTTTAATCATCATGCTTTTTCAAAATTAAACTACAATGAACTATATAATATATAGAAAGAAAATAATACTAAACTGGTCTCAGAAATTGAATATCACAGGTAAAAATTGGATTATTTTCTATCAAAAGTTTTGATATACAGTCGACTCTCGTTATCTCGAAGTCAGCCGGACCAGAGAAATATTTCGAGATACCTGTAGTTCAACTCAAACAAAACCAGAAGTATGACCAAGGGACACAACTCTTGCTTAGCTTGGTAAAGCTAATATAAATCTGGATGAATATGGGAAGGGGATCGATATTCTGGTCTCATATCGATGGATTTGTATGTTATGGTCTTTCATTATTATAATAACATTGTTTTCACTTATTTAATTATTTCTTTGAACAGTTACAATTTTTTCCTGTGGCTTTTATCCGAGAGAGTAATTTCCAATCGATCTTAGCGTTATTTAAGTCATTAAAATTTGACAAAATTGTTTATTCTCGAATACAAGAGATTTTAGAAATTTAGATTTATTTTTATTTTCTTTTATCTCAATCTTTCTTTTAAAGAAAAAATACAAAAAGATAAAAGACGCCGATTGAGTAGTTTTTATGTGATAACCAACAGAAGTCTTAATCCCCACTTTATACACATCCAAGCTCATCAGTGTAAATCACAATTAATTTAATTAATTTTTTTTGTAAACATTTTAAATAATTTTTCATAAACTTTAACAGTGTATCACTAATTATTTATCATGGTGATAAAAGATAATCTTAGGTAAACACTTGTGCCAGTCGTGGAAATAGAATGTCATAAATCAATACAGTGGTCAGTGACGGGAAATTTAATTACACGTGTATTGTCAGATTAACTCTTCAATCCATTTAAATCCCGGACGTCCTGTTTTGACATATGTGTATTAGTTCGAGATAAATAATGAATTTTGAATGCTTTTGTTAAGGTGTAATACCACCAAATCATAGTACGTCACATCCGGTTGCATACGAAAATAGGTCGAAAAAAAATATTCCCTTGAATTTGACAGTTTGAAACCTCCTTGGAGACAGTAAACTTTTATACGGATAGTTCATTCAGCTTGAATACTTCAATTAATCAATTATTATAACATTTCTATCATAAATGAGTGAAAGTTACCCCAAATTTTTTTATTTATTGGCCTAAAAAGTAGAAATTTTGAGGAAATGAGAGGTATAAATGGACCAAAAGAGACCTTATAAGGAAGACAAAGAGGTCCATTAGTAGTATTTATCATCCTAAAGTCATCTTTTGTATCATATTCAACTGTTTGTAGGCAGATGAGATAAATATTTGATCATTTATTGGTCCACACTATATTCTATCATGATGCGGCTTGGTTTGGATTTTTGAAGAAACTTTGCTCGAATCGCTGTAGATGTCGTCTTACATTATACTAGATTTTTCTCAAACTATTGAACTGATTATGACAAAACTTGACAGGACTGCTTGAAATAACCAGTATTACAAAGGAAAAAAGTCACATTCTGTTTATTTAACAAAAAAGTCTTCTTTAATATGGGAAGCTGTACATGCACCTTTGACCTTGTGAGTACTCTCATGTGTTAAAATTTCTTGCTATTTAAGTGAAATATTACAAATAATGAAATATTCTGAGTGGATTGAGTCTCCAAAACACATTTTATGAGAAAATTTCCTTGAAATAGGACTTTACCATGAATATTAGTTGACAGAACAAGCCATACTTAGAGTTTTGGGGAGCTTTTTCTCCTTATTTCTCATATTCTGCTTTACTAGAAAAATTTTCTTAAGAAATACTTTAATAAATATATAGTTTTAAGTAAATGAAAGTATTTTTAAAGCAGTAACAACAAATTATTCACCAAAAGAGAAGCTTTGTATGTCCCTCTCTGGAACGCGGCGTAAATTTAAGTTTTACGTAAGGACTTATTGAAACCTCCTTGGAGACAGTAAACTTTTATACGGATAGTTCATCCAGCTTGAATACTTCAATTAATCAATTATTATAACATTTCTATCATAAATGAGTGAAAGTTACCCCAAATTTTTTTATTTATTGGCCTAAAAAGTAGAAATTTTGAGGAAATGAGAGGTATAAATGGACCAAAAGAGACCTTATAAGGAAGACAAAGAGGTCCATTAGTAGTATTTATCATCCTAAAGTCATCTTTTGTATCATATTCAACTGTTTGTAGGCAGATGAGATAAATATTTGATCATTTATTGGTCCACACTATATTCTATCATGATGGGGCTTGGTTTGGATTTTTGAAGAAACTTTGCTCGAATCGCTGTAGATGTCGTCTTACATTATACTAGATTTTTCTCAAACTATTGAACTGATTATGACAAAACTTGACAGGACTGCTTGAAATAACCAGTATTACAAAGGAAAAAAGTCACATTCTGTTTATTTAACAAAAAAGTCTTCTTTAGGTGTAATACCACCAAATCATAGGGTCCGAGTACACAGTTATTTCGTAGTGCATTTCTTTTAGACAATAAATGAAAATTAAAAAAATCCCACCTGCGCTTTCTCAATAATATTTTTACAGTGTGTTGTACTACTTTTGGGACAAATTATATCAAAATTATAGAAAACTTCATCGGCTCTAACTCAAAATATGGACAATTTCATGCTAAGGGGGTCTTCAAATCTTTTGACAGCTTCCGAAGTGCTAATTTTTAACATTTTTCAGCTGGACCAAATCACTACTTTACTTTAAAATTCATGACCCAAATTTTTTTACAGTGTCATTTCACCCCCCTACTTACTATTTGAGTCATAAAACATGGAGAAATAAATTCGGAAGGGGTATAAAAAAAATCGACAAGTAACACACTGTCCACACTAGGGACTATATTCGTGGACAACGAAAATCAAAGGACGATAACTGTGTACCCGGACCTAATAGGGTAGAAAAAGTTGACCAATCTTAATGAAACTTGGTATGACTAAAGCTTATTAAATTATAAGACTGCTTACAAAGTTTCATGGCAATAGGATATATATTATAGACAATATGACTAATTCTATATTCAACTTTGAGTGTTAAATTTAGACGTTAAAATTGAAAATTTTCAACTATCAACATTTGGGGCTTAAAAAATTAAAATATTGCAAAAAAATACTTTTGAAATGCCTTTATATATAATATATTATGTATTAAAAGCAATAGAGTACTCATTTGATTTATCAGACTTATCATAATTATTAAAAAGTCAAATTTATATGAGCCTGTGGCTAAAAATGGAGGTTTTCCAATGAAGGGGGGCCTTACATGAAGATGTAATATTTTCCAGCAATTTTAAATTTGTAAAGCTTTTTGGTTATAAATAATCCTTACATATGTATTTAATGTACTTTAAATGGAAAGAAAACTTACAAATAACATATCACATTAGTTCAAAAGGGTCTTAGGCCAAGTAAGACTGAAAATAATTTAGGGTCAATTTAGGCCGTATCACATATTTACATTTAAAAATGCATATTGAAGCTATATGAAATAAAATTTTGTGTCTTTTCTATCATTTCTATACTCAGGTGACATGATACAATAAATTTGAGCACAAAAAGACTCTTGCATTCAACTTTTTTTGCAGACAGTATGGTCTGATACAAAGATTTTTCACTTTTTAGTGAAAAACATGCATGCAATTTTAGTCTCAACAGGCTTATATTTGAACCACTTGCTATCCTACAGAAGAAAAGAAAGATATTATGTGACATAAAACAGGTACAAAAGACATTGTTAAGTGCTTTTTATACAAATTTAGTGAGGTCTTTATAATGGACTTTAACTTTTATGTTCCAAGCTCCTGACATTTAACTTGATCCAAACAGGGCGTTAGACGAGGATCATATATACAACACATTTTGCACATATTGTCTGAGATAATCTTCTTTTCTGTAGAGTCAGAGTTCACAAATGAGTAATACAACTGGATTGAAGCATAGAAACACAAATATTGACACATAAAAACCTGTCAGATAGAAAGTCAGAATGCCACTTATGCATCAAAATTGAAAAAGCTGTGAAATGCTTATTTTGACCATAAAATGCCAAAATTGGTCATTTTTGCAGAAATTCTATCAAATAAAAGTTTAAATCCTTTAGTTTTATGCTATTTGATAAATTGACACCATCAAATCATTCAGGGAAGTTGCCAAAGTACAGATTCTATATTTCCTGATTTCACCTCTTAGGTCCGAGTACACAGTTATTTCGTAGTGCATTTCTTTTAGACAATAAATGAAAATTAAAAAAATCCCACCTGCGCTTTCTCAATAATATTTTTACAGTGTGTTGTACTACTTTTGGGACAAATTATATCAAAATTATAGAAAACTTCATCGGCTCTAACTCAAAATATGGACAATTTCATGCTAAGGGGGTCTTCAAATCTTTTGACAGCTTCCGAAGTGCTAATTTTTAACATTTTTCAGCTGGACCAAATCACTACTTTACTTTAAAATTCATGACCCAAATTTTTTTACAGTGTCATTTCACCCCCCTACTTACTATTTGAGTCATAAAACATGGAGAAATAAATTCGGAAGGGGTATAAAAAAAATCGACAAGTAACACACTGTCCACACTAGGGACTATATTCGTGGACAACGAAAATCAAAGGACGATAACTGTGTACCCGGACCATAGTACGTCACATCCGGTTGCATACGAAAATAGGTCGAAAAAAAATATTCCCTTGAATTTGACAGTTTGAAACCTCCTTGGAGACAGTAAACTTTTATACGGATAGTTCATTCAGCTTGAATACTTCAATTAATCAATTATTATAACATTTCTATCATAAATGAGTGAAAGTTACCCCAAATTTTTTTATTTATTGGCCTAAAAAGTAGAAATTTTGAGGAAATGAGAGGTATAAATGGACCAAAAGAGACCTTATAAGGAAGACAAAGAGGTCCATTAGTAGTATTTATCATCCTAAAGTCATCTTTTGTATCATATTCAACTGTTTGTAGGCAGATGAGATAAATATTTGATCATTTATTGGTCCACACTATATTCTATCATGATGCGGCTTGGTTTGGATTTTTGAAGAAACTTTGCTCGAATCGCTGTAGATGTCGTCTTACATTATACTAGATTTTTCTCAAACTATTGAACTGATTATGACAAAACTTGACAGGACTGCTTGAAATAACCAGTATTACAAAGGAAAAAAGTCACATTCTGTTTATTTAACAAAAAAGTCTTCTTTATGGGAAGCTGTACATGCACCTTTGACCTTGTGAGTACTCTCATGTGTTAAAATTTCTTGCTATTTAAGTGAAATATTACAAATAATGAAATATTCTGAGTGGATTGAGTCTCCAAAACACATTTTATGAGAAAATTTCCTTGAAATAGGACTTTACCATGAATATTAGTTGACAGAACAAGCCATACTTAGAGTTTTGGGGAGCTTTTTCTCCTTATTTCTCATATTCTGCTTTACTAGAAAAATTTTCCTAAGAAATACTTTAATAAATATATAGTTTTAAGTAAATGAAAGTATTTTTAAAGCAGTAACAAAAAATTATTCACCAAAAGAGAAGCTTTGTATGTCCCTCTCTGGAACGCGGCGTAAATTTAAGTTTTACGTAAGGACTTATTGAAACCTCCTTGGAGACAGTAAACTTTTATACGGATAGTTCATCCAGCTTGAATACTTCAATTAATCAATTATTATAACATTTCTATCATAAATGAGTGAAAGTTACCCCAATTTTTTTTATTTATTGGCCTAAAAAGTAGAAATTTTGAGGAAATGAGAGGTATAAATGGACCAAAAGAGACCTTATAAGGAAGACAAAGAGGTCCATTAGTAGTATTTATCATCCTAAAGTCATCTTTTGTATCATATTCAACTGTTTGTAGGCAGATGAGATAAATATTTGATCATTTATTGGTCCACACTATATTCTATCATGATGGGGCTTGGTTTGGATTTTTGAAGAAACTTTGCTCGAATCGCTGTAGATGTCGTCTTACATTATACTAGATTTTTCTCAAACTATTGAACTGATTATGACAAAACTTGACAGGACTGCTTGAAATAACCAGTATTACAAAGGAAAAAAGTCACATTCTGTTTATTTAACAAAAAAGTCTTCTTTAGGTGTAATACCACCAAATCATAGTACGTCACATCCGGTTGCATACGAAAATAGGTCGAAAAAAAATATTCCCTTGAATTTGACAGTTGTAGGTAATTGATCTTACATTTCATTGCAGTAAAACATTTCTGGGTCATAAACATATATATTGGGTATTTCAAAGCACCATTATTTTTTTATTTGGGGTTTCTATAGAATATTTTGGAAACTTGAGGTTACATGGTTACTAAAGATGGTACACAGGTTAAAAAAGGGGGAAAATTTGATTGGTTAACTTCCAGTGATGGTTATATTCTTATATGCAATGAAATGTTATGTGAAATTTTTTCTATAGTACTGGACAGGATAAAACTTTACTCATGCCAAGTATTTCTTTATTTGAAACAAAAATGAATTCTGCATAATTTTTTGAAAAGTGCAAATTTAACAAAGACTAATAGGGGAAAATCAATGGTGGTATTACACCTTAACGTTGGGACCGTAAATTTAGTTCGACTCAACCGAAATTTCGACTCATCCAATTTTGATTCATCAGGAGTCGAAATACATATATTTATATGGAACAAAGTTTGGGACCATGAGAAAACTTCGACTCATCCGAAATTTCGAGTCAACCAAGTTCGAGACAACAAGAGTTAACTGTATATTAAAAGATATGTCCATATATTGCAGCTATTGCAAAGTCCTAATGCTCATTGCATAATCTAAGACAAAACAGAATCCTAAATCCTAACAAGTACAATGTTTTTGTTATGTCCAGTAATAAGTGTCAAACTCTCTAAAGTGTTATATAAATAAAATCTTTTGTAAGCAGTGCACTCTATTTTGTTCTATGCAGCAGCAACATCAGATATGTTTATGAATTACTGATTCACTTCATTCAAGATAGTTCCAGTGTTTCTTGTATGATTTTACAGGAGCAATTGAGAAATGAAAGATATAAAACAGTTCACTATAAATTTCAACAATCTCCTTCTCTTTCCATGTGAACTAGTTATAAATCATACCAATGTCTTGCAATCATCCCAGATAAATAAGAATGCATGAAGAAATGAATCAAGATCAAAGTGTGAAGAAATACTGTCTTAGAAACTCATTTCACTGGAATTATAAATTCACTTAAAATATTTCTGCTTAGCCCTAATATAAAAGTTTCATGCTTCTTGGTATACCCTTAAGTTTGTTAAAATTGTCATTTTGTAAGCAAAAAAGGTGCTGTAGTTCCAATTTCAAATTTTCATGAATTTCCAAAGTTACAATTGACTCTTTGTGCACAAATTCAAATATAGAAAAGAAAAGAAACAAAAGAGGAAAAAAAATGAAAATGTTTAATTATTTTGTGACTTTTGAATCATTCTTACCTGTTGTCCTATTGGAGATGACAGGTTTCTTGTCATGACTGACTCTCCAAGCTTGTTTAACAGTGACCCCTTTCTTTCTGGCTGCAAACAACAACATATATCATCAATAAAAACATTCTTTACAGTGTTAAAGGGGACACTTCAAATCGGGGTTAAAATTAATATTGTTCACTGTTGATTAGTTCTGCTAACACTGATTGGATACTGCTCATACAATACATCAGTTTAAATTTATCCAATAGTTTACTTATATAAAAATAAGGAGATATGGTATGATTGCCAATGAGACATCAAACCACCAAAGCTCAAATGAAGTGGAGGTAAGCAATTATAGGCAACCGTACGGCCTTCAACAATGAGAAAATCATATACCGTATAGTCAGCTATAAAAGGTCAAATGAAGTGGGTTTAAGCAATTATAGGCAACCGTACGGCCTTCAACAATGAGAAAATCATATACCGTATAGTCGGCTATAAAAGTAAGCAATATCTATATCAATGTCTGTATCATCAATATTATGACAGCTGAAGGGTATTTAACATTACCCATAAAATCATGCAACTTTATTTTGGACAAGAATATGTTAATATTATATGAAAGTGAACCTTTCTTTTTACTGGATCAAAATATTTTTTAACATGATAGTTCATAAAGTAGCAGTACAAAAGAATGAAAATTCATCCATACTGGACAAATTACTGTGAGGTTTACCTTTTAGCTTGAACTTCTAAATACTGGAAAAAGCAAAACAACAAATTTACCAATGTCTCACAATCAAGGCAAGCATTCTACTACAAGACATGCATTTTGTATTTAGTTTCATGAGGCGTAATCAAAGGCTATCCATAAGCTTGGAAGACCATGCTGCAAGCTTCAGATGTTTTATTAACCCTTCATTTTTTATAAATACAATCAAACCTACATATAAAGGTCAACCTCCATTGAAAACTGACCTTATAATAGAGGTGACCTATAAATTGAGGTCCAAAATCAATAGGTATGATTTAGGCAGGACAAGAAGAGGCTAACCTGACAAGGCAGGTTTTCACTTAATAGAGGTGACCTTTATAATAGAATATTAATTAAGATTATACTGACCAGGTTATTATTAAGGTTATTGTTCAGATCTTTGTCATATGGCTTTTCCAGCTCATTGGTATTAAGTACACTAGAATCAGTTTCTGAAATTAAACATAAGCTATCTTTTAAAAGGTTTCTCTCTTTTTCTTTTCAGGAATAATTAATATTGATGAAAAAATGCATAGAAAGTTTTATACACATTAAGAAAATATTCATTCACATTTTTTGAAATGTATCTTCAATGTATCTTTATGACACAAACAAGCTCCACTATTGGTCTATCCATTCTGGCTGGAGGTACTTCCTTGTTAAAAATCAACTCTTCATATAGGAATATGTGTTTTTAAATGTTCCAAACAATACAACTTTCAAAGAATACATATTACTAAACAAGATGACTTAAGGTCAATGACATTACTGTTAGTCATGAGGAAAGATTATGGAAAATATCCCTTTACTAGATTTTTTATGGAACATCTGAATCCAAAGTAAATTTCCATAATGGTTGGTCTTTGTTTTAACAATTTACAAGATGTGACATGACCATCTAATTAGGAATAAAGTAAAAAGATAAAGATGGATGTAGTGGTCATTAATAACAATTGTGTGAAATGCCTATTAATTCAAAGCAGGTATTACTTAGATATTGCACTGACAATATTTCAACTGATGTATATGAATTGTGAACTTGACCTGCCAGCCATGACTTTGACCTTCTAAATATGAAGATGAGAAAACTAATTCAAGGTCAAGACATATTCATTAGTAAAGGGCATCAATTGTACCCTACCAGGAAATGATCTGGACATCATAGAATACAAGTATCAGCTTTGACCATGATCTCTGAGATATGACCTTTTAGGTTAATATGCAGGAATTGTGTGAAGTATTAGTAATACCATGTGCAAATATAAAGTATGGAGAAGGTACCAATACATGTATTATTTATGGCCATGACCTTGCTATAGACATGAAATAGAAATAAATAGTAAACAAAAAAGACACACAAATTGTTTATGTGTTTCTTAAACATCCCTCAAATTTCCCTTAAATTCAAAATATGAGTAACATGATGATTTATACACCCACTGTTGCATTTGAATAAAAGGAAATACATATACCAAACAATGTGGAAGCAGACAACAGAACAAGGTTAAGCACATGTATTAGCTTACCAGTTTAAACTTGATAGTACTATACATCAGCACGCTATTATGTGCATATAATAGAAAAAAAACGATATGGGGTATCTATCCATGACACAAAATCAGTACATGCACAGCAAACAACACACAAAAAGCAAAGAAACAGCACTTTTATTGCTGTTCTTCATATCAAAGTCACAGTCAGGTCTTCAACACAGACAAAAAAACTCTCACCTCACTGCAAGTTTAAGACGGTCACATCAACCCAAAGAAAAATAGTGTATTTTGCTTATAGGAAGTAGATAAGTGACAGATCTGAAAATGAGTCACACTGAATCTTTTCATTATTAAGTTAAGTACCAAAAGCTTCAACATGTAGCTGCTGAGAAAAATGTGACAAAATTTCTCATATTCTTACATGTGTATCAATGCAAAGAACATACAAGTATGCAGCAAACAGGAAGTAGGCGAAAAAACAGACCTGAAATTTGTCACACAGTATAGCTCACAAATATGAAGCTCTGACTTTTAGTGGCTAACATAACAGGTAAAAATAATTTCTCATATGTGTGCATCACTGTAAATAACATGCATGTAAGAGGCAAACAGGAAGTAACTAAGTGGCAAATCTAAAATCATGTCATACCGTACAAGTAACCAATATGAGCTTGTTCACATTTCAAGAAGCTCTGATTCATTTCAACAGAAAAGTGTAAGGCCTCAACAAAGAAGGACAGAGGTAAAGCAGTTAATCCAAAAATCCTTAGTAGGCATATAGTTATGGCAATTGGAAGTAGGTCACAGTGACATAAATGTGTATGGGTCACTATTGAAATATTAGATTTCAATCAACCGTGAAGATACAGCAGGATGGCTCAAATCTTATTTACCAATCTTGTACTATTAAAGAGTACTGTAAATTTAGAAATTATTGCGTGCATTTATTATTGCGATTTTGTCATTGTAGACTAAAATGCAATTTTAATTTTTGCGATATTGAGAAAAATCCTGTTTAATTCATATAAAAAATTTCATAAAGCGAGTTTAAATTATTGTGATTATAACCCTGTCGTATTTTTCGCAATAATAAAAACATCGCAATAATTTCTGAATTTACAGTATTGAAGTGATGAAATATAATTCATACGTACTTATGGATTACTGAGAAATGGACTAATCAAACAACCACCTTTACAATAAATTTGGATAACACCATAAAAGGATGGAGAGACATGCCATTGTCCCTTTTGGAGCTGAGAATATTAACAACTGGTGCATGCTTGCTCAAAAGTATATTATAATAATTCTAGGTCATTTTTTGCTATTGAGAATTAAGACAGATGAAATCAATAATCAGTTACTTACTTTTTTTACTTGTTTTAGATCCTTCAATAAAACTTTTTTTGGTTGTTAGTCGTGTCTTTGTGACCTGATGTGAACATATATATAAAATGAAATTTTCCAAATATCTTACATTTCAATGGGGAATAACTCCCTCAAATGTATTTTTCTAATTAATCTGAAATATAGTTGAAGTAAACCTGACATAAAATCATTACACTCCAATAATAAATGTACGTATGTGAGCACTTACAATACCGATTTTCCATAATATTTATACATTTCAAAAGTGCATAACTCAAAAACAACAAAAAAACATATTGACTCTCCAACTCATTAAAGATATTGCAGATGTTAACCTTTGACATCCGTCTCATTAAATCTCCCCTGAGAAATGTAGGTCAAAGGCAGACACAATGTTGATTTTCCATATTATTTATATTCCCAAGGAACATAAGTCCCTAACATAATCTATTGGCCCTGATTTACAACTATTTGCTGATATGAATTTGATTTTGAGAAATTATGACACAAGAGTGTATACAAAATGGATTTTGATTGGTGCTAACTTTCAAACTGACATATGTTACTGGTGTGAACATTTGACATGTGTTTCATCAAACTAGGATGAAAAATGTAGGTGTTTGAGTGCTTACAATTTTGATATTTCCATGGGTAACAGGTGCCCTAAAAATAATCATCTGTCCCGTATTTTTGAACTCATCCAAGATATAACTGATGTTTACCTTTGACATCTATTGTTTTAAGTTCAATTAGAAATGTTGGTTTAAGTGTGTTTCCAATGTCAGTTTTCATAGAATTTACATTTCCAATGGGGCACAACTCTCATAAAAATAATCGTTTTGGCCTGATTTCTGAACACATCTTTGAATATTGTTGAAGTTAACTCAAATGTTTACACTTTTTTTGAAATAAGAATTATAATGAGAACATTAAGTTTGAAAGCATTTACAATAACAGATGTGCATCAATTCCTCCTGCATCTTGAATGTGACTTACAACCTGATTTTTATAAGTCATTAGCAACACTAGTAGGAACTGCTTATCCTTCATGAGCAGCTACATTCATCTCCAGTTTTTAGTAACATTTTTTTAGCAATGCTTTTTTTTTCTCACTAAGTTATTGTCTATCCTTCCAGACTTTAGATCCTTTGCAATTTTTTTTTTAACTCAAGACCAATATACAAATGTATTGATGGTCTTAAACAGATATTTGTTTCTTACTTAATCAAGGTAAATGAAAATGTGTCATTATAGTATTATTTCAAAGTCATCTAGTAACCCATGGTGTAATAACCATAGAATTAGCTTTGTTGTCTTATCTTCATCTGCTATGAATGAAAGATTTATAATTTAGAGCTGTTATTATTTTAAGTTTTTATCACTATGCAAGTAAATTGACTAAAACTAGAGTATGTCTGTCTATAAAATCAGCTATTTATATCTGTATCTGTATCTGTATTGGTACGGGTAGAATCCTGTTAAGGCTTTTA